TGGGTGTCTCTGGCCCTTGGGGGCACAGGGTGCTGGGTGGCACTGGGCACAGTGGCAGGGGGCTTGACCTGGGCTTGATGCTGTGCAGACCAGCCCTTCTTCAGGGAACAGCCTTTGACTATCAGCTTCACGCGCCCGGACAGAGGCCTGGGCATAGCTGCCTGTGGGGAGACAGCAGGGAGTGGGGACACAGCAGGGAGTGGGGACTTGGGGTGCCCAGGGTGTGCCTGCCCCCCAGCTCCCCAGCCTACCTCCTTGTAGATGAGCTCAAAGGCTCCAATGGAGCAGGTGGGGTTGTCCTTGCGGTCGAGCACGAGGCGCAGCGTGTCCCGCTGGACATTGGCGCAGAGTCGTCGGGTCACAGCTGAGGAGGGGCTCATGGTGGGGCAGGAGTTGATCTCCAGCAGCCAGGGCTGGCAGTCCTCCCCCACGAGAAAGTCGGCCCCGTAGAGCTCAAAGCTGCTCTTGCGGAAGCCCACCTGGTCCTGGGCACTACGTAGGGCGCTCAGTATTGCCGCCTTCATGCCAGGCACTATCACCTGATGCCAAGCATCTGCCTGCCCCAGCCATGCCAGGTATGCCTGGAACTGCTTGCTGGACCAGACCCTGTCAGAGGGCACGCGGGGGTCCTGGTCTGGTGATGTCTTGTACCACTTCTGGACGGAGACATTGCAGAGGTGCCTGGCACTGGGGTGGGGAGAGGGGGGCTGGGGTCAGTCTGGGGGGCTGGGGTCAGTCTGGGGGGCTGGGTCAGGCTGGGGGGCTGGGTCAGGCTGGGGGCCACTCACCGCTCCAGGCAGTGCAGGGAGAAGGGCCGGGAGCAGAAGCGCAGGTAGCAGTCTCCATAGAACCAGACGGTCAGCGGCTTCCAGTCAGTCACCACAAACCACTGACGGATGTCGAATTTGGTGCCGAAGATGGTCAGCAGCCGCTCCAGGTACTTCTGCACCACCCACTTGCCCTCCTGCACCGAGGGGGCTGTGCAGCCCCGCGCCAGCCGCAGCACCTCCTCCAGCCGCGTCGCACAGACGATGCCTGGGGAACAGGGGCACAATGATGGTGGGACCCCTCCTCGGCGGGGACCCTGTGTGTGTCCCCTACTTCCTCCAGCCTTACCCCTGCCTTGGGATTCAGCACCAGGCTTGAGGATCCAGACGTTGAGCTTGCCCTCCATGCTGAACTGCGGCAGCTGCTTCGCCAGGCGCCGCAGCAGGTCCTGGCACCGCTCCCGCTGTGCCCCACTCAGCACCAGCCTGGCCCCCTCACTGTGGGGAGACATGGGGAGCTCAGCACCAGCCCCACCACAGTGTCCCCTGCCCTCTGTCCCACTCTGCACTCACTGTGCCACACAGTAGTAATGCTGCAGAAAGCGGTCCCAGTCAATGCATGTCCTGCAGGGGAACGGGGTGCCCCTGTCAATGTCCTGGTGCCCCAGAACACCCAGGTGCTGCTCACAGACTTCCAGGGCCTCCTCCACCAGCTGGGGGTACAGGGGAGATCCTGGCCCTGCTTTGGATGGCATGGGGTGAGAGACATGGCTAATGTGCCAGCCTTGGAGCCAAAGCAGCACAGAGCCTCCCTCTGGGACCTGTGGCTTTGGTAGCATGGGGATGGGGTGGGGGGCAGAGCACCCATAAGGTGGGTTTATGGGAGGGAGCAGGGGATCCCAGGCCACAGCCATGAGCAGAGACTCAGCCTCCAAGCTCAGCCCCCGGACATGTCCCTGCCATCAGCTCCATGCACTCACCTGGCCCCTTGTCAGAGCTCGGGGGCTGCTCAGTCCCCATCAGCCTGTCCCCAGCCTCTTCCAGGGCCAGTTTGAGCAGACTGCGAGCTGCTGTCAGGCGGAAATCGTCTGCAAGAGGGAGGCATTGTCCCCAATCAGTCCTGCACAGGATGTGGGAAGAGTGGGAGCACAGGAGGGCAGCACCCCTCTGCTCACCGATGAAGGCTTCCCGCTCATCTGTGGTCCCCAGCCGATAGCACCGTGGGAAGAAGGTGTTGGGGTCTGCTTGCTCGATCCAGGGCAGGTTTTGCAGGCTGAGGCACAGCCCCTCCTGTTTAGAGAAGGTTTTCAGTCCCTAGTGAACCCACCCCTCGTGTCCTCCCCTCTCCAAGGGCTCCGGGTTCCCACCTTGGTGGTGAAGGCACCCACTCGGGCATAGTGGTTCACCACATGGTCCTGCTCCAGCAGCCGAGGGTCAACAGCACTGAGGTAGTTGGCCCAGACGAAGTTTGGCACTCGGTCCCGCACCAGGTAGGACTGTGAGGGAAGGGACCAGGGTGGGAGATGGAGCCCTCATCCCAGGGTGTGCCCCATGCCTGGGGGTCCCAGGGAAGGGTGCTGGGGGCTGTGGCAGAGCTCAGCCCTCTCAGCTAACCATGAGGTCATGGATGCCACTGGGGTCCTCTTCGCACTGCTCTTCCTTGTCCTCCTCCTCCTCAGTGGGTGGCCATGGGGAGTGCAGCAGCTCTGTGATCTCCAGGGCAGGCTGTGCCCCACCACGTGGGTTCAGCACTGCCTCCCCCTGCTCTTCGCCATCCTCCCTTGCCTCTCTCTCCAGCTGCTGTTTCTGTTGGTTGCCACGATGCTGCTCCAGCTGTCTGCCCACGCTGGGGGGCTTCCTCTCCACCCAGCCCCGGGCCCGCAGGAGCTTGCGGATGGTGGGGTAGGGGCCCTGCACCATGAAGATCTTCTTCTCCTGCACAGAGACCAGAGGGCTCAGCCTGCCCTAGTCCTGGTCCCTCCAGCTCAGCTCTCCTGAGCCAGACATGCAATAAAGGCAAGCACATAGCATTTGGGGAGGTGTGAAATCAGGCCCCTCACCTTAATGGCTGTCTCCACATGCAGCTTGGCCTTCTTGAGGAGCTCAAGGTCAAGCCAGCACTGGTGGCCATCCTGGTGGCTGCCGGTGGTGGCTGATGCCAGCCGTGTGAGCACAGCCCCGTCTGAGCTCAGTGGCCCCGTTTCCCCAGCACGGGGTGGGGCAGATTCCCCAGCACGGGGTGGGGCAGAGCGAGGGAGAGGGCGCTGCCCCACCTGCCTCTGCCTGGCTGAGCCTGGGGCCCCTGACATGGCATTGTCTGACCTGCCAGGCTTTGCACCAGTGCCCCGGGTGCCCGGCACAGCCCCAGGACGTCCTACTGTGCCCTTGTCCCCAGCCTGCTGGGCCCGTGGACTGCTGGAGTGTCCCCTGCTCCAGCGCTGCCCCTGGCTGGGGGGCTGTGTGCCTGCAGTGCTGCTCTCTGTGCTACATTGTTCCATGGTAGCCTGAGGCCAGGGGAGCTGTGGGTGGCTCTGCCTCCTCTGTGCCAAGCAGGTCATCCTAGTCCCCTGTCCTGCTGGGGACTGGAGCAGGTGCCCAGTGCAGGATTGGCCCCTCAGCCCCCAGCACCACTGATATCGAAATGCAGGCTGTGGCCCCCAAACCCCAGTGTCACTGCAATGTCAGAGTGCAGGATGTGGCCCCCAGTTCTAGTGTGATGTCAAAAGTGCAGGATGTGGCTCCCCCCCACCCCCAGCAGTGCTGTAACGTCACAGCCTCAGCCTCCACAGTGGCTCTACTGCCCTCAAGGGGGGATAAACAGCCCCCTGTGCCCACAAGCCTCCTGCCCCCCCCCTCAGACCGCACACCTCCCACAAACCCTTTTGTGCCTCACACCCAGAGGACCCCCTCAAGCCCCTTGGTGCCCCCAGGCCCCCTTCAAGTCCTTTCATATCCCCCCATTGCCCCAATAGCCCTCCCCGACACCATCAATCAACGTTTGCTGTTGCCATGGTGCTGCACTCCTCCAGTTTCACGCCCCTTCCCATTCCATGAGCTGCACCCCCTCCCCCCGGCCGCGGTCCCCCCATCCCCCGGTGCGGCGGGAGGGAGGAGTCGGAGGCGGTGGATACAGCAAACGAGACCGTTTAAAAAAACAAGACGAGACAATGGCAGCACCGGGGCCGCGCTGCCGCAAGCGGGGGCTGCTCCCACCCGGCCGCCCCGCCCAAAGACGGGCAGGTGGGGCCCGGCCCGGCCCGGCCCGGCCGTTCTCAGGGAGCAGGAGCAGGCACAGGCACGGTGCCCGGCGGGCACAAGCACGGGGGAGCCACGGGGTCCTGCACCACGGCCTAAAACTGGAAAGGAGAGAAGACAACGCAGCTGTCAGTCCCTGCCTGGGGCACTCACCACCCTCCTGACACCCGCGTGGTGCTCACAGAGATCCACACTCAGCTTCTCCCGCTGCCTCCCCCAGGCACTGCACATCCATCACAGCATCCACCGAAAGGACCTGAGACCCCAAGGCTGCTGTTGCCCCTGAGCACACTCTGGGGGTCTCAAAACTGGCACTTCGTGAGCACCAAGCCTGACAAAGTCCAAGAAGTGTTTGGACAACACTCTCACATGGTGGGATTGTTGCGGTGTCCTGTGCAGGGTAAGGGTTGGACTGGCTGATCCTTGTGGGTCCCTTCCAATTGAGAAATTGTGTCATTCTCTGAAAGGGGGTACGAGTACCCTTGGCACCCTCCCCTCCCTGTTCCCAAGACGGTCCTTGGGTAGAATGTCACCGCTGTCCCCACTGAGGTGACTGGGGGGCTCTGGGCACAAGGGCCACAGTGGCTTTGAGTGCCACACCCCACTCCCAAAATCAGGGACCCGCCCCCTCCCATTCCAGAGCCTCACATTCTTGAGGAACTCCTCTGCCACAATGCGGGCCCTGGCATTGACAGAGAGCTTCATCTCGCTGATTTCCTTGTCGATCTCCTCCATGAAGTGGATGACAAAGTCCACCAACTTGTGCTTGTACATCTGCTCTGTGTGGAAGTTTGTGATCAAGAAGCTGATGTCGTAGCCCTGGGAAAGAGAGAAGTGCCCTGGGGATCAGCACCCAAGTCACTGACATGCAACCTCACATCCCAGTTCTGCCCTGGACACCCTCCCAGTGCCAGGAGCAGAGCTGGGGGCTGCTCTGCCCCCTCTCTGCCCCCTCACCTCCACGGGCTTCCTGCGCAGGATGAAGAAGTTTTCAGCCCTCATCATCATGAAGCGCATGAATTTGTGGCACAAGATCTTCTCGATCTCGTCGGCCTGGGGAGAGAAAAGGGAAGTGAGGCTTCCTCCGAGGCAGGAGCTGCCAGCCCCTGCCCACGCCCCCTCACCTGCTTCACAGCGATGCTGACACGCACAGAGTTGATGGAGCCCTCGATGAGTACCTTCTCCTTCTCGTTCCTGCTGATGATCACCGGCTGCAACAGCAGCTCTTTGCTGCTCCTGCAGAGGAAGGGCAGGGCTGACTCAGAAGGCAGCATTCACTGCGAGGTACAGGGAAGCGGAGCCGCGGGGATCACAGAGAAGGGGGGGGTTGCTGCAGGATGCTTCCCGCCCCCCCAGGACGTCCCTCCCTCGTCCCCAAGCTGGATCCCCTCCTCCTTCCCGCAGCTCCCCGGCTCCCTGCCGGCACCAGCGCTGTGCCCGAGGGCCAGGGGGTGCCCGGAGCACGGCAGAGACCGGCCCGCGTCCCCCGGGACGGGCAGCGGGAGCTCCGCAGGGCTCCCCCGGTATCCCCCTCCCCCTACCTGACTTCCACCTCGGGCTTGTTGTGCCGCTCCACCACTTGCGAGGAGAAGTTCTCCAGGCACAGCGCGGCCTGCAGCGTGGCGCGCACCGCGTTCAGGTACGGGCGCAGCGTGGCGGTCTGCGGGGACACGGCGGTGCCGTCAGACCGCGCACCGGGGACCGGCTGCTCCCGGGTCCCGCCCCCTGCGCCAGCCCCCGACCCGCAGCCCCCGGGTCCCGATCACCCCCCGCTAGTGCCGATGCCAGTCCCGGTGCCAGCGCCGTCCCCCCGCCCATCCCGGTTCCCCCACCCTACCATGGCGGTGGTGGCGGCGCTCCGGTCCCGGCAGGCGGAAGTGGCCGATCACCTCTTCCGGGATGCGCGGCACCTCCCACTGCGGCGGGCGGGAGGGGGTGCGGACAGAGAGCTCCCGCCCTGCGGCCCGGCACCCCCGCGGCGCGGAGCGGGGTGGCGGCGGCGATAGCCGGCGCGGCTCCCCCCCGCGCCGCGCCACACTTGGTACGCGCCTGTCAGCTCTTCCATATTAGGGCAGGGAGATGGAGGGCACGCTGGGCCAATGAGCGTCGGTGCGGGGCGCGGCGCGGCCAATGGGCGGCGAGGGGCGGGGCGGCCGCTGGGCCGGAAGGGGCGCGCGGCCCAGGCCCGGGGCCCCCCCGCCGCGTCCCCGCCGCGCCCCGTGAGCCCACCCCGGGATCTCACCCCTGGATCCCGCCCCGTGAGCCCACCCCGGGATCTCACCCCGGGATCCCGCCCCGTGATCCCGCCCCGTGATCCCTCCCCGGGTCCCCGCAGCGCCCCAGTGATTACTCCAGGTTCCCCCCGGTGATCCTGCGCCCGGATCCCTCACAGCCCCGATGCTCCCCGGCCCCCCGTAGCCCCCCGCTCCGCTCCCCTCTCCCCCGGGTTCCCCTGTCCCCAGCGCCGCTCGGTGCCCCCGGAGCCCCCCGGTCCCGGTGTCCGCCGCCATGAGCGAGCTGAAGGACTGCCCGCTGCAGTTCCACGACTTCAAGTCGGTGGACCACGTGAAGGTGTGCCCCCGGTACACGGCCGTGCAGGCCCGCTCGGAAGATGACGGCATCGGCATCGAGGAGCTGGACACACTGCAGCTGGAGCTGGAGACGCTACTCTCCTCTGCCAGCCGCCGCCTCCGCGTCCTGGAGGCCGAGACACAGGTGCTGGGACTGTGTAGGGTCAGGGACAGGCTCCCTGTCCCGCTCCTTCTCGTCCAGGGGCTGCCCCCGGCCCGGCCCTGCCCAGTCCCCCGGGCATGGGACCTGATGGGGCATGAACTCTCTTCCAGATCCTGACAGACTGGCAGGATAAGAAAGGCGACCGGCGGTTCCTGAAGCTGAGCAAGGACCACGATGTGGGCACATCTGTCAAACATGGGAAGCCCAAGAAGCAGAAGCTGGAGGGCAAAGGGGGCCATGGGACTGGGCCTGGCCCTGGCCGGCCCAAGTCCAAGAACTTGCAGCCCAAGATCCAGGAGTATGAGTTCCAGGATGATCCCATTGAAGTGCCCCGCATTCCCAAAAATGATGCTCCAAACAGGTGTGTGGGTGTTGGGGGGCATTGGGATTATCTGTCTCCTTCTTTGGAGCATCCAGCACAAGAGCAGAGGGATAAGGTACCCCGGGGAAGGGGGACGTGTATCAGCTCCCACGTGCTCCCCTGAAGCTCTCCCTCACAGTCCATCCGTCCCTGCAGGTTCTGGGCATCAGTGGAGCCGTACTGTGCCGATCTCACTAATGAGGAGGTCAGAGTCCTGGAGGAGCTGCTCAAGCCACCAGAGGATGAGGCTGAGCATTACAAGGTGAAAAGCTCCCGAGCCCATCCTGTGTCCTCTCTCCCCATCCTCTCCAGTATCTCACAGCAAATGTTCCCGCTGGGGATGCTGCCGTAGTTCTGGGGAGGTGGGAGGCAAGGCGGAGGCTCCAGGAGCTGTGCTGAGCCCTGCTCTCGCAGATCCCACCACTGGGGAAGCATTATTCCCAGCGCTGGGCACAGGAGGACCTGCTGGAGGAGCAGAAGGATGGAGCCCGGGCAGCAGCTGCTGCCGACAAGAAGAAAGGTGTCCTGGGGCCACTGACTGAGCTGGACACCAAAGGTGCCCCCATCCCGCCCCTCCCTTTCCCTAGAGGGGCTGGGAGCACTCGTGCCCAGTGGAGCCAAGCCCCAGCCCCAGGGGCTGAGGCTGCCCTGCCCCACTGCTCACCTCTGTTGGGTCACCTTTGGGGTTGTTTATTTCCCTCTCCTGCTTCCTCCCAGACGTCGATGCCCTCCTGAAGAAGTCGGAGGCCCAGCATGAGCAGCCAGAGGATGGGTGTCCCTTCGGTCCCCTGACGCAGCGTCTCCTGCAGGCCCTTGTGGAGGTGAGGGGGCTCTGTGGGGCCATGCCCTGGCCTGACCCCATGGGGGGGCAGCACCACCACAACCCAGCACTAACTCTTACCTTTCCCTCATGCTCCCTTTCCTAGGAAAACATCATCTCCCCCGTGGAGGACTCCCCCATCCCTGAGATTGCCGGCAAGGACTCAGGAGCTGACGGTGCCGGCACGTCTCCCCGCAGCCAGAACAAGCCCTTCAGGTGAGTGGCTGAGGCAGGCCCGGAGCTGGGCACCGCCCATGGCTGCACTGAGCACAGCGCTGGCTCCCTGCCCAGTGAGTCGTGGGGAGCAAAGGGCGTGTGGTGGGCAGCAGCTGCTCTCTGCCCTGGCAGCGTCCCCCACACCAAGTCCCTGGAGGGTCGGATCAAGGAGGAGCTTGTGGCCCAGGGCCTGCTGGAGTCAGAGGACCGCCCGGCCGAGGACTCGGAGGATGAGGTGCTGGCAGAGCTGCGCAAGAGGCAGGCGGAGCTCAAGGCCCTCAGCGCTCACAACCGCACCAAGAAGCACGAGCTGCTGCGGTGAGAGCGAGCGGGCAGGGATGGGGGCGAGCAGGGGGCTGCCCGGTGGGGACTGACACCCCCGTGTGCCCCCTAGGCTGGCCAAGGAGGAGCTGCACCGGCAGGAGCTGCGGCAGCGTGTCCGCATGGCCGACAACGAGGTGATGGACGCCTTCCGCAAGATCATGGCTGCCCGGCAGAAGAAGCGCACGCCCACCAAGAAGGAGAAGGACCAGGCCTGGAAGACCCTGAAGGAGCGGGAGAGCATCCTCAAGCTGCTGGATGGGTAGAGGGGGCCGAGGACCCCCCTCTCTGTGTGAACTTCACCTGCAGGGTGCTGCCCTGCCTGTACTCTGCCTGTACCCTGCCAGTGCAGGATGGAGTGGGCACAGCCTCCTGCATGCCCTGGGCCTGCTCAGCCTCCCCGCCTGGGTGACAGAGCCTACCTGCTGTCCCGTCCCTGCGTGGGGCTTTCACTGATTCAGGCTTGGGACCTCGTGGAGTTGTGGAGATCTCTCCTGTGGACAGCCTCCCCCAGCTGGTGGCTTCTGCTCCCATGTCACCCCGTGCTCCCCCTGTTACTCAGGTGACATCAGCCAGGTCACTGCAGGGGCCAGATGTGGTGGCTCCTGTGGTGTGGTTCCCACAGTCCCTTGTCCTTCTGTGACCAGGGGTGGGGAGATTCCAACCCCCACAGGGGAGCTGGAGGATGTGGGGAGGGGAAGGGGCTGGAGGGGCGGGGGACCCCGTGGGTGGGTGGCCAAGCTCTCCATGTAATGGTGGCTTCTATTGCCACAACCGGGGGCAATAAAAGCAGCTGTGTGCAGGTGATGGTGTGGTGACATCGGGGACACCGTGGGGACCGGCCCTGCTCTGGGTCGGGTGTGGGCGGGGGAGTGCCCTGCTGGTGCTGGGCTCATCTGGGGCGGGGGGGCTGAGGCGTGGCGGGGCTGGGTCTGTCCTGCAGCTCCACGCGTGTCTGCCCAAGGCATCCATCCCCACAACAGACCCAGGGCGGGTGTCGGGGGTGTTGCCGCCCTGCGCGCGCCCCCTCCCCGCGCCCCCCCCGCCTGTCCACGCGCGCCCGCGGTCACGCGTGTCCCCCCCCGGCCCCCCCGGCGGCCGAACCGCCCCCTCCCATTGGCGGCTGCCGGGCGCGCGCCCGCCCCCCGCCGTGACGTCAGCGCTGTCCGGCGGCGCCGCGCCGGGAGGAGTCGCCGCTGCTCCGCCGCGGGCCCGGGGCCGGGGCCGTCGGTAAGGGCGGGGCGGGGCGGGGGCGGCGTGCCCGCGCGCGGACACCATGCCCACGCGCGGCTCCGAGTGGCGGCGGCGGAGCTGCGCGTCACCACCCGCGCTGCGCAGCTCCGGCTCCCACGCGTGTCCCGCCCGGCGCGGCTGTGCCAGCTGGCAGGCGTGGGGAATGGCAGTGGGGACCCCCCCGCGCACTCACGCGTGTGTCTGAGACCTTCCCTCTGCCCGCCCGCCCCGTGCCCGGGCAACTGGAGGGTGCCTGCCTGTGTCCCTAGTGGGACATCCCGCGCCAAAACTCCCGCACGGGCACAGCTTGTTCCCATGACCCCACGATGAAAACCACGTCCCCTTAGCACCTCGTCACCCCCCCGAGTCCCCACACCATCCCGACATGCTGACACCCTGTCCGTACCGTCTCTCACTCGTGTCACAGGTGGGAGTGGGTGGCCCCACGGGGCACCATGCCGCTGGGGCAGGATGGGCCCAGCTGGAAGAAGAGGACCGAGGATATTCGGCGGATCTACGACTTCCGAGATGTCCTGGGCACGTGAGTCACAGTCAGGGGGACACACCGGTGACAACACTCACCGTGATGGGTCTGGCCCCTCCGGCTTTGCCAGACCTGCCACGTGGAACCGGCTCAAATCCTGGCCTGAGGTGGGGCTGGCGCATGAGGGGAGACACTGTGTGGCACAGGTGCAGGTGCCACCTCCCACTGGCGTTGGCTGGTTCCTCCTGCTGTGCCACGGCGTGGCTGTGCCATGCCCAAGGATGGTCCCCCAGCTGGCAGAGGGGTTTCCACTGGTGCCCACAGCACCATAAGGCTCTTAGGCTGGATTAGCACGTTAATTACGTCAAGGCTTAGGGCCCTTCGCAGCGCGAACATGCTGCCTGTCACTTCCCCACTTGGGCACTGCCAGCAGCTTTGCCCGGCTACTAATGGGCACCTCAGCCCTTGAGTGACCCTGGGTGCTGTGGGATGGCATGGCACGGGGCTCAGCCCCAGCATAGCTCATCCCCAGCAGCATCACAGCCTTATCCTGTCTGATAGGATGGTGCAGCCATACCGGGAGGGACAAGTGGTGCCAGGCGCTCTATTGCTGGCACTCTATTGCTGTCCAGCCATCCCAGCGGACGGCTCCCACTTGCTTTTCTCCTATAAATAGCTGGACTTTCTGCCTGTCGCCATGACAATCGTGGCATAGTGGCACTGATGGCTCTGGCTGACAACCCCCCCCCACCCTGCTTATCCCTTAACCCCCCTAGGGGGGCCTTCTCCGAGGTGGTCCTAGCGGAGGAGAAGGCGACACGGAAGCTGGTGGCCATCAAGTGCATCGCCAAGAAGGCACTGGAGGGGAAGGAGACCAGCATCGAGAACGAGATCGCCGTCCTCCACAAGTAGGGGCTGTCCCAGCACCAGGGTGGAAGTCCCACCCCATGGCACCCCCACAACCCGGCACAGCTCCCCACTGCCAGCATCCATTGCCGCATGTTATTGCCAGTGCCTAAAATAGCCGGCAGCGCGTGATGCCCTGCAGCATGGAGCCTGGCTGCTCTCTGTCCCGTGGGGGCTGGAGTGGGGGCAGGTGGGAGCCCCCTCATGCCCCTGCACCTCCCCCTGCAGGATCAAGCACCCCAATATCGTGGCCTTGGATGACATCTACGAGAGTGGCACTCACCTCTACCTCATCATGCAGCTGTGAGTGTTGTTGGGGGGCTCCAGAGAGGTCTTGGAGGGGGGACTGTGCTGATGGGTGCTGCCCATCCCTGTAGGGTCTCAGGGGGGGAACTCTTTGACCGCATCGTGGAGAAGGGCTTCTACACCGAGCGGGACGCCAGTGCCCTGATCCGGCAGATCCTCGATGCCGTCAAGTACCTGCATGACATGGGCATCGTCCACCGCGACCTGAAGGTGAGCAGCTGGGGGTGAGGGGGACATATGCAGCACCCTCATGGTGGTGGCAGGAGGGGAGCCCAGTGTTGCCCTTCCCTGAACCCCCTCTCCTCGCAGCCCGAGAACCTGCTCTATTACAGCATGGACGAGGACTCCAAGATCATGATCAGCGACTTTGGGTTGTCGAAGATCGAGGGCTGTGGCAGTGTCATGTCCACGGCCTGTGGCACCCCCGGCTATGTGGGTGAGTGCCTGCTGTGGGCTGCCACCACCCTGGGTGTGGGGTTGGGGTATCCCCACAGGTTGGGGTCCCCCCTCACCCCTGCCATCCCCCCCAGCCCCTGAGGTGCTGGCACAGAAGCCTTACAGCAAGGCAGTGGATTGCTGGTCCATTGGGGTCATCGCCTACATTCTGTATGTATCCCCCCTCCTACCCCTTCCTGTCCTGGGGGCCTGGCCCCCAGGGCTGCCCAGGGCCAGCATCCCTCTCCCCCCACACCCAGGCTCTGCGGTTACCCCCCTTTCTATGATGAGAACGATGCCAAGCTCTTTGAGCAGATCCTGCGGGCCGAGTACGAGTTTGACTCACCTTACTGGGATGACATCTCGGACTCGGGTGAGCTGAGACCACCAGGGTGGTGAGGGCTGGGAGCCTGGCACAGTGTCACAGAACCCAAGGGAATGGTGGGCATAGACACTCACAGCTGCTCAATGCCCTGTCACAGCCAAGGACTTCATCCAACACCTGATGGAGAAGGACCCCAGCAAGCGCTTCACCTGCGAGCAAGCACTGCAGCATCCCTGGTAAGGGGTGACCTGCCACAATCTGCCCCTTCTCTGGCTCACCCCACAGCAGCCATGGGGTAGGGGGGCCCCAGCTGACCCCCATCTCCCTTCAGGATCGCTGGGGACACAGCCCTGGACAAGAACATCCACCAGTCAGTGAGCGAGCAGATCAAGAAGAACTTTGCAAAGAGCAAGTGGAAGGTGAGTGGGGGTTGCTGCGGGGTGCTGGGGGACACAGAGGTCTCCCAGGCACCCCATGTCAGGTGACAGACACTGTGGGGTTGACAGCAAGCTTTCAACGCCACGGCAGTGGTGAGACACATGAGGAAGCTGCAGTTGGGAACCAGCCAGGACATCCCTGGACAGACAACTCCCACCAGCCCCGGCGAGCGGCTGGTAGGGGGGACCAGCAATGGTGAGCCCTGACCCCTTAATCCCCATCCTGTACCCCCCAGGGCTGCTGCCAGGATCTCACCCTGCTCCTCCCCGCAGGGTCAGACTGTGGGCACCCACCCACAAGCAGAGGTCAGCGCCTCCCTCCAGACTGAGCACGGCCCCACATAGCCACATCCAGGGGGGACCAGGGGGGCCCAGCCCTCCCATGGGCACCATGTGGGGTGGGGGGCTCTGCAGTGCAGGAGCAGGGGGGACAGTGTGAGGGCACCCTGCTGTGCTTGCTCTGGGTTTGTGGGGCTGCCCTCATTGCAGGCTCACAGCAGAGATCTGCATCGGGGCAGGGGCACCCCACGGAGCACCCCCAGCTTGGGGCTGTGTCGCAGGCCCCTTCCCACATCCATTCCCTCCCTCCGTCCACGCCTGGCCTGGCACTGTCCCACCCCCCACCCCCCCTCAGCATGTTCAAGGGAATTTTCCAAATGGATGTTTCTATTTTATTGCTTGTAATAAAGGCAAGAGGCCAAAGGTGCTTGGCTCGGCTCTGCTCTGGGGGAGCTGGACATAGCCCTAATTCCCCCTGGCCTCACTGCCAAAAGCAGCGTCTCCCTCCACACACACAGTGGGCAGGGGACAGGCACAGCCCACCCCCCTTTGTCCCAGGCTGGCAGCACGCACAGTGTCCCACTCAAGCCACTCTTCCTCCTCGGGTGTCCCTAGGGGGGCCCATCCCCATGGTGGTCCTGGCTTCGGCTCTCCCAGGCCTGATCCCGGCTGCTGGTCAGCTCCTGGCCCTTGCGGAGGTCAGCACAGAACAGTACCTGGAGTGGAGAGAGATGATGGGGTGGGTATGGCCAGGATGGGGGGAAGGGCTGAGCCCCAAGCTGCCTGGGACAGGGGTACTCACCGCTTGTGCCCAGCCAGCGCGGGGGCCCCACAGCCCCCGAAAGAAATCGCCTGTGGAGAGAGGGTGAGTGCCAGCATGGGGGACACAGGCACCATCCCTGAGGTCCCATGTCAGGGCCCAGCCCTGCCCTCACCGATCTCCTGGTAGGCCCGGGGGGTCAGGCTCTTGCTGCCCACCGCCACGCCGTAGCGCTGCTGTGCAATGTGCCAGACATGAGTGTCCACTGGCACCGCCTCAGCCTTGTCCAGGGACAACAGGCAGACACAGTCAGCCACCTGCCACCAGCAGCACTGTCAGCCCCTGATGCTGGACCCCATTCCCCATCCCACCCCCGCCCTGGCACCCACCTTGGCACCTACACCAGGCAGGGCGCACAGCACCTTCCTGGCCTCGGCGTAGGGCGCGGTGCGGAGCTGGCGCAGCCCCTCAGCACCAAGACCCTGGGCGATGGCCCGCGCACTCCCACTGACAAACTTGGCCCGGTACCCAAAGCCCAGTGCCCGCAGCCGGGCCTCGGCATCAGTGCCTGCGTGGACACAGCATAGGGATGTGGGTGGGCGCAGGCGAGGTCATTGTGGGGTGGAAGTGGTGGGGCGACAGCAGACCTGTGAGTGCCGAGAGGGACGGGAAGGCGTGGAACGGCCGGGCGTCGATGGAGCAAAGGTGGCGGCCAAAGGCCTGGCAGAGGCGCTCAATCATGGCAGTGATGCGGGAAATGTGGTTGTTGGAGGTGCAGATGAAGGAGAAGAGGCACTCGATAGGGTCCTGCCGCAGAACCCGCACCCCTGCAGGCAGGACACAGTGAGGGGATGCCGGGCAGGTGCTGTGGCCATCTCTTGTGGCCCCATGGAGCCACCTCACCTGGGAAGTCCTCGGCCACCTTGCGGAACAAGGGGTCGGCCGCCTCCCACTCACGATACAGGGCCGACAGACTCACGTCCAGCTGGAAGTAGTCGCGCAGGATCCGGTCTGTCTCCGCACCGTCCAGCTTGGCTGCTTTGGCGGGGCACCCACCCCGTTCCTCCTCCTTGTGCTCATCCTCCTCGCCGTACACCGTGTACCAGAGCCGGTCCCGGTCCTGCCGCAGCGTCCAGACGCGCCCCTCCAGCACGCCTGTCCAGGCCCCCGGGCTGCTCTCCCACCACCTGCCGCACACGGGCACATCGGGGCGGGCCCGGGCACGCAGGGCCGGGCCGGGGGGCGCCGGGACCCCCGTGCTGGCTCACCGGAAGCTCTGTCCCGAAGACAGCACCAGGTCCAGGCGCAGCTCGGCCAGCGGGCACGGCAGGCAGCGCCACAGCGACGGGCAGGCGGACGGGGCGTCCCGCAGCTTCATGGGGGCCGGGGGGCGGCTGCGCGCCCCTGCCCGCGGGGGCGGCGGGGTCAGGCACCGCGCGGCGCTGAGCCCTCGGCCGCCCCAGCCGGGCCCGGCCCCGCACCTCCTCACCGCCGCCCGGCCCGTGCCCCCCGGCCCCGCAGCGGCCCCGTCGCTCCCCAGCACAGATAAACCCCGCGCGGGCGGAGCTCCCGTCGCTCCCCGCCCCGGTTTCCGCCCGCCGACGGAAGCGCGGCCGGCGGCGCCACACGTGTCCCCCCCCCGCTCCCGCCCCGCCCGCAGCGGCCGCGGCTCCGCAGCGGAGGTTTATTTTCTAAGAATCAATAGATTTTTCTTCCTTCAAAATAAATACAAACAACGTCCAAGCGCGGGGCCGACCGGGGGGGCTGGGCCCAGGGGTTGGGGGCAGCACGGGGGGTTGGGGGCGCGGGGGCCGCCCTGGGGCACGGCGGCGGCCAGAACAGCATCCCGAGGAGCGGCAGGCTGGAGGGAGTGGGCACCGGGAATGGGAGAGTGGGGGGGGCGCGGGGGGGCCGGCCCCACCCCTCCCGGTCCCCTGTCCCCCAGTGGGTGCAGGCCAGCTGCACGGGGGTCCCCGAGCCCCGTTTGCCCTGAGATTCGGCGGGGGAGCGGCCGGCGGGGCCGGCTCAGTCGCTCTCGCTGGAGTCACTGCTCTGCTCGCCCTGCACCTTGTTGCGGTGCTGCATGGCGCGGTGGTAGGCGATCTGCACCGACTTGCGGATGTTGGACTTGCGGCCCTCCAGCATCTTCTCCTTGTCCAGGTCCTGGTTCACCCCCAGAGGCACCAGCTTCGTCCGGGGCAACCACTGCCTGCGGGGAGCAGGGGGCCACCTCGTTTGAGGGTTACAATCGTCTCTGGACACCCCCCCCAAAGCCCCCGGCGCCCCGGCCTTACCAAGTGCGCTTGTTGTCGAAGAAGAGGACAAGGTAGAGGTGCTCGCGTGCTTCCTGAGTCATCTGCTCCCCCAGCTTCAGCACCTCCAAGGGGGGCACGGGGATGGGGACGCCGTGGTGGAACATGCCTTCCCGTGGCATCTTGGGATCAATGATCTGCCAAAAGAGCAGGGGAAGGCTGAGAGGGGAACGGGGACCCCAAGAGCCAGTCTGCAGGAAGGGGACATGGATTTTGGAGGCCCCGATGATGGGCAGTACTCACCAGTGCCGGGTAGGAGGGGTACCCCCGGCACTTGGCCCACACCAGATCCAGGGCGTCCAGGGAGGAATCTTCATCCTCAGAGAGCCACCCCGCGCCGCGCCCCATGCCCTTGCGCACCACTGTGCCAGAGGAGAGGGGAGAGAGGGGTCAGCTGCGTCCCCCCAGGTGACGGTGCCAGCCGGGCACGTGGCTGCACAGCCACAGTACTTACTGCTGTGCCCCACGCCTCGTCCAGTGCCCACAGAGTAGGACTCATTCTCCGTCCCCGACGTGTCCTCACTGCTGTCTTCCGGGAAGTTCACTCGGGAGAAGGAAGGTTTCCCTCTGCCCTGCTTGGAGGGTGTTGTGCTGCAGAGACAGGGAGCAGAGCCATCAGTAAGAGTCATGTTAAGCTTTCAGAAACTGCTTCTGGGAGGGCCAGCCTGGTGGGACACCAGGGCTTGTGGGCTCCAGCTGCTGGTCTCGGCACTGGGAAGGACTTGGAAGGGGTACCAGGCAGAAAGGTGGGATGGTGCTTCTGCCAGGGTGCCAGCCAGACCCCCACCCAGTTTCACGCAGGAGGACCCAGAAGATGTGCACTGATCAGAATTAGAGGCACAGGCACCTGATGGTGCTGGCAGCTGGAAGGGCAGTGACAGAGCAGCTGCTGTGACAAGAGGGAATTCCCCAGTTCATGCTCCTTGCTAGCCCTTTGGTGCACAATCACACCTTTAGGTTTTACATTAAAAAAGGCACAAACCCTGCAGATTTCTAGGGATTAGCTGGGAGCAGCAGGAGGGT